CAAGCATCCATTTCCCCCCTCAAGTCCCCCACCGCCAGCCCCCGTAACCGCGCCGGCGCCTGGCACAGCAGCCCCTTGACCTCCAGCCCCCGCGGCGCCCGCCGGCGCAGCCAGTCCCGCAGCCAGGCCAAGTTGCAGCCGCAGAACCAGGGGTTGTTCCGCAGCCCCAGGTGGCTCAGGCTCCCCAGGTCGTCGAAGAGCCCCCGCGGCAGCGTCGTCAGGTTGTTGTCCGACAGATCCAGCCGCTCCAGCGAGCGCATCCGCGCCAAGGCGCCGGCGGGGACGTGGCTGATGGCGTTGGCGGCCAGGGACAGCCGGCGCAGGCGAGCGCGGGGCAGGTTGGCCGGCGGCGCGGCTAACGCGTTTCGCCCTAACGAGAGCTCGCTGAGGTTGACCAGCCGGCTGAAGGTGTCGTCCGCCATCCGCTGGTTGGCCAACAGGTTCCCGTCCAGCACCAAGCGCCGAAGCGCCGGCAGACCCTCGAAGGCGCGGAGGGGGATGGTGTGGATCCGGTTGTCGTCCAGCCGCAGCTCCTCCAGCGCCGGCGGCAGTCCCGGCGGGACGCTGCTGAGGTGGTTGCGGGATAAAAACAGTAGCCGTAAGCGGCGGTTTTCGGCAAAGGCGTCTTCCTCGATGCCGGCGGCCGAGACCGAGTTGTCGTCCAGGTGCAGGCGCTCCAGCAGCGGCGCTCTCGCCAGCGCCCGTCGGCACAACCCGCGGACGTTGTTCTCCTGGAGGTGCAGCTCCCGCAGCGCCGGCGGCAGGTACGCCGGCAATTGCTCCAAGGCGTTGGCGTACAGGTATAAAACTTTTAACGCCGATAAGTGACCCAACCGCGCCGGGATGCCGGCGTCGCCGATCCGGTTGTTTTGGAGGAAGAGGGTGGTAGCGCCGGCGGGGAGGCCCTCGGGAACGGCCGTCAACCCCCGGTCGTTGCAGTAGACGCGGCCGCCGGCGCAGCGGCAGACGGTGGGACAGGCGGCGGCGGTGACGGTGACGACGGTGACGGCGGTGACGATTGTCAGGAGGGGAGAGGGGAAAGGGGGTGGGCTCCCCCCCCGCCGGGCGGCCAGGGTGAAGGCTGTCAGGGCCCAGGTGGGGGGAGGGAGGGGGAGGAAGA